ACTGGGACTGTTGACTCAGCGAGGTGGCCTACCACCACTTGACCACTTGCCCCTGTTCAATGCAAGTCCGCTCCGAAAGGCCACTTCTAGAAACCTCTAACTTGGCCTTTTTGTAGTGTAGCAGCTATGACTTTGCCCCTTCAGGTAAGTAGCAGCTACAACCTTGACCCTTCAAGCCTCCTACAAGTACGACTTCGGAACTGTCTAGACTCCTACTCTACAGGTCTACAGTCCGATTCCCTTCTACCCTGTGACTTAGAAAACCTACCTACCACTGGCGGTCCTACAAATCGCAGGTTCAAATCTACGGGTTGACACTGATATTGTACACAGGTAAGACGGGGAACTAGGGATCGAGCCCCGGGATCTGCATTCGCTACTACGAACTGGTGAATACCGTTTCACCTACTAAAAATCCCACCCACACCTGCTCCACTACTACCCAATCCCCTGCCCGTCACCTAAAGGACCCCCCAGTAACCCCCTCCCTACACTAGCCTACCACTAAGCTATCCTAAAACCAGGTCTAGCTCGGCCTGAAAAACCGGCCTAACACGGCCGGTGGAACCTGGTTCCTAAATATGCCACTCCTACCAATAATTTAAAAAATGCGCAGAGGGTTGAAGAAAAACTCGCGCAGGGGGGAGGGATAGGGGAAGGAGGGAAGGGAGGAATGTGATTGAGGGGGCATGGGAAAGGGGAGACTCACGACCGCAACAACCGGATGACTTAAGGCAAGCGGAGGAGATACTCACAGGAGATGAAGAAATTGAGGATAGCCTGTTGTTCTGGTGTCCTTTGAGTTTGATTCGATCCTAAGGCTTTGATCTCTTCGTAGGCTTCATTGTACTCCGGACTTGGGATTGGTGGTGGCCCTCTGATAGGTGGATTGACATACATGTAATAGTATCCTGAATTTGAAATCAAGGTCTTTGCAAAGTAAAGTTGCCTCCAACCAGATATAGGGATCCCAGGCAGTTGTTGGAAAAATCACGTGGGACCTCCAGGGGAGATAATGAAATTGGCCAGTACTCTTGGCTTCCATCACCAATCCTGCAATGCCACACGGATGACGTCACATTACATACATAATACATACTAGCTTAGCGCCCGCGGTGCGGGCTACGCCTGCATAACAAACTACCGAAACGATAAAGAAAGTACTCAAACAGATTTAAATGGACTTTTTCTCTTTCAAGTTGCAAGGGGACGGGGGGGGGGGGGGATGTGGGGGGGCTGCCGGACTTGGATCCATATCTTGCTTCACCACGCACAAACCTCTCTCTCTCTCTCTCTCTCTCTCTCTCTCTCTCTCTCTGTGTTCTCTGGCTAGGTTCGTTAGAGTAGGCGGAGGTAACTGGGGAGCTTTGCTCCTCGAGGTCTACCCCGGATTACACAGTTATTTAAGGTAAGTAGCTAGGTGTGCTCGTAAGATATATAAAAATAATTTTTCATTATTTTGCATTTCATTGCGTTTTTTTAAGAATGGCGGGATTTTGGAACGATTTTGTAATTCCCCGGTATTTAGACTTCGACCCTTGTCTATTTTAGTTTTTGTTGTTTGTTTTTCCGAAGGGAAGTTGGGGAATTTTTGCCGCCTTTTTAAGACCATTGGTGGGCCCCAAGAGCATCTATTAGGGTCACATCCAATGGTTGGGTAGTGCGAGAGTTTTTTCAAAACGAACGGAAAAGACTAATCAGAAAGGTGTTTCGCGATGATGTCGGAACAACCGGTCTCTGTCACAAAGGAGTGTGCATCCTCGCAGGAACTAAACATAGCTAAGGAAGGATTTAGTATGGCCGGGGAAGGAGGTCGGTTAGGAAGAAGGCTCCGAGGTGAATGAAATGGTTCATGCACTATTAAGTGGGCGGAAGGGAGAAGGAGGAAGGAATATGACAGGATGTGAGTAAGGAGGGA